TGTCATAAATAGAAACATTTCCCTTGACATAAATGGAAGGAACCCATAATATATTGATTTTTTTAAAAAAGCAATACAACTAAATTCTAGCTAAATACTGCTGCCCATAGAAGGCGTTAAGCATGAGGACCTCTTATCATTCTTATCAGGAATGGGATAAAATAAAAAAAGGAAATCACTTTTTCATCATGTGATTCAATATGTCCACAAATCATCTCAAACCACTTAAGAGCCACCCAAGATCATGGCCATACACGCGTCTCACATTTTGGGAGGCATCACCTGAGCCCATGCTGTTGTACAATGTGGGTCACCCCTGTGAGGCAGGTGTCCTATCTGGCTGCATTGTCACCTGTGGCTCCCACTTGAGTTCCTGCGTATTTGTGCTCCCCTGTATCTGAAACACCTTCCCCCCATATCCACTCCGTCACAGAACTCAGACCTCTGTTCAGTGTCACCTTGTCAGAAAAGCTTTCCCCAACCACCCTCCCCACCACACAGTGTTCTTCTTCTTAGCACTCATCACCACCAGATATGCTGTTCATTTTTTCATTATTTGTCTCCACCCTTGGTCCCTTCCCCCACTAGAATACAGTGACCCCATGAGAGCAGGGACTGAGTTTCATTTATTGTTACATGCCTAGCACCTAACATGTCGCACATGTCCACACTCAGTACATACCTGCTGGATGAATAAAAGAATGTCCTTGGCGAATCTGGAGATCCACCACAGGTCCTTATTTGCCTAGTGCCTGGCCTTTACCTAGGCCTCAGGAATTGTGATGATCAGACAGGGGACACACAGAAATCTAGCTCTCTGTAGGCGCTCCTCTGACCAGAGGGAGGGGTCTTGCTAGGGATGCTGACCCGCTGTTCTCACTTTAGTACACAGGAGGCCACGAGGCAACACTCTTCAGCCACAGTGGAAGTGCCTAGATAAACCGAGATCAACACTGAACTTACCATATGCACAGCAGGGTCATTACATGGCATGATTACAGGAGCCCCTGGAAGGAATCCCAAGTTAGCACTCTCTCTACTAAACTACCACAGTATCTAAAATTTCTGCCATCAGAGCTGGGTGACTTGAGATGGATCCAAACACACATATCTCAGGAGAGTGGCTGCTACAGATGTGCACGGTGACTCAAGGCCTGCTCCACAGGGACAGGCCGGGCCCTGGAGCCCAAGCTACAGCAGAAACAGTTGGCCCTGTGTGCTGCTCCAGTAAGGGCAGCCAGGGAGTCCAGGGCATCGGGTCCATGGGGATGCCCAGTCCAGGCTCAAGCAAGGATGAAGCGAGCATGAGCCTTGGGCCAGCCGTTCCAACAGGCTCAGAGTTGAGGCATCTGAGGCAAATGCGGAAAGTGCTGAGCTGTCCTTCACCCTCACCAGTCGCTAAGGAGACACAGAGCAGGAATCAAACCAGGAGAAGAAAGAGAAACAAACTCCTAAGCCTAAAAGATAGACCAGGGTGAAAGGCAGCACTACCAGGTCGATTGCTAAATGAGAATCATGGCACAGACCCGGTCCCACAGCCAGGACCAGCTGTGGAACAGGGAGTCCTATGGCCCAGGAGTTCCAGGAGTCGTTCCCACCACACCTTAGGCTAAGTCCCATAGGAGGGGAAGGGAGCCGGGGAAGTGGGGTGGGGAAGCGAAACTTCCTTTCTAGATCCAGATTAGCTCAGGCACTGGACGGAATTCCTCAATACAGCCAGAACCCCTAAGCAGTGGGAAACAGGGCAGGCTGGCAGGCACAGGCTGCCCACACCCAGATACAGCACTGCCCTCATCTCCTAATGACCTGTCAGGAGCCCACAGAAGATTTCCAGCTGATCTACGTCTACAATGTGACCTTCGCCAGAAAGGGACATACTGTGAAGTGTTCCTTCCACAGTGCCAAGGTGGATTAAGTCATATTATTGCCAGAATTACTCTTTTAAAAGGTAAGAGTTCCTACAGGGTGAGAAGAACACAAAACCAATTATCCATTAATATCTTAGGCGCTTTTTTTTTTTAAACAGGAATTGGGAGATCACCCACCTAGGCAGATTCCGAGAGAATCAAAAGCTTTAGGGTGCTCCTGCATGTTTTGTAATAAGTCTCTGAGGCAGCTCAAGATACACAAATGAACAGAAAATTAAACCAATAGAAGGGAAACCAGGAATCTCTTGAGAAGACCAAAACCAGAAAACGGAAATAAAATCCAATCGGTTCATGCCTAGAGAAGGATCAACCTCTTGGCTAAAGAGAAGACCATTCCTTCTTCCCATTTGTTCTCAAGGCCTCCCAAGAGAAGATCACCAAATCCACGCAAACAAGTCTGACCAAAGTGAGTAAATGGTAAGCAGAGGCTAATGTATACATATATAAAAGCACCATATTTTCTTACAGTACAGTTCCTCATAACTCAAAGATGCCTTTACAAAAATTTAAGTGGACTGTTTTAAACCTTACTAAAATGACTCTATTACAACATCAGGGTCCGAGGAAATAAGCTCTGGATTTGTTTGCTTTTGTACAAGGCCATTAAATTGGAAGGCACTGGAAGGCATTCAACACTAATACTTGTCTTAGGATTTAAAAAAAAAAAAAAAAAAAACTCTGGGTTTCTAATTCACTAAATCCCAATTTCATTTTCGAGTTAAAATGTTGCCATTGAGTTAATTACTTTAAGCCCTCAAAAAATATGTTAAGGTCCCAAACAAGAGAAGGCTGTTCTGTTAACTATCAACGTGAAAATATTTCGTTTCTTCCATCCTCTCCCTCCCCTACATATAGAAATCACATATGTTTATAAACCACTAGGACCTATGATGTACTAGACTGTCAATAAGATGTGGATTTTCAAGGTGATTCTTAAGAGACAGGAAAGTGTGTAGCGAGGAAGCAAATAAACCCCAAATGCAGGATTTATCCATTAGTGGAGCTGGGAATGGTACAGGAGTGGGGAGGGCCACCCAGATGTTCCCAAAGGCAATTATAACATTATTTTTCTTAAACTAGGTCATGAGGAGATGGGTGGTTGCTATGCCATTATTCTCCATACCTTATATTTTATAATATTATTTAAAATAGTCAACATTTAATAAAAGCAAGTACTTTTAAAAGGAGTTTATGTAATTGTATCACGGAAGGCAAATAGAGACACAGGTGTCTTCTTTAGTGGCAGTGTCACTCCACACAAGGTGACACGATTAAGAGTACTAGACTCAATGTGTTCTAGAGCCATCCTTCTACTGAATTAACAAATCTTGGGGAAAAAAATATATTTTTCTAAACTTCTACGTAGAAATGCTCAGTTTTTCCCACCATCTACTGCTTCATTCTGCTGGCTTTTATAAAAAACTATTTTTCCCTCGGCTTCTCTGTTACTTTCATCACTAGATGAAAACACTGTAATTCTTTCTCGCTCTCTGAATGAACCTGAAGAAACGAAAATGGGATTACAACACCAAGTGACGTACAGAAGTGACTACTGACGTCCCCCGAAAATGATCATAAAATTAAATTAAATATTTTGATAGAGAAAGGCTTTCGGTTTGCCTGTGTTGTTGTTTCTAACTATGTGTTACCAGGAGGAACCTCTAAATGCCAGGAAAACACCAATAATTTTTTAACATTTCCCCAATTCTGTGTTATCTGTTCTGCTTTCCATAAAGCGGCAGAAATATCTTAGAGATGCTTTGTTCAGACACGTGAAGTATTTCATTTTGTAAGAACAATCCCAGCTGAGAATTGTAGTGATCCTCAAAAGCCAGCTATTTTCAATATTTCAAAAAACCTAAAACGTACATTTACCTGTGATTTGGCCATGCTAAGAGTGAAAATATTTTTGCTTTTTTCCACTGGGATTTGACCAGGCCTTCCTAACTGGGTATCTCATGCTGATCAGATATTCTGATATATGTCATCAAAAAAAACAGAAGAATTAAGCATGATTACTTAATACATGTGGTTTGAAAAATCAATCACAATATGAGGTTCCTGCAGCAAAATAACAAAAGTGTGTCTTTTACTATTGGTATTTATCTTTTTAATCAGTTTTTTTTTTTTTTTTGGTATTTGAGAACAGCAACAACAGAGTCCGGGGCCCACTAACTTAAGCATATTCCATCACTGCTGTCAGAAACTCCAGAAAACATTGATCCCTTAACTCCGTTAAACATTTGCAGGTCGACTTTCCATTATCTTTTGTTTTCTAATTTTTTAACTTTTGCCAGTTCAGTTCTCTGTTCCTCAATCTTTGCAAAATGTAGAAGTCATGAGAGGTGTTAGGAGGGAACAAGTGTTTCATATCACATCTTCTTCCCGCGACAAGCCAGGCTAACGGCACCAGAACTGTTTCTCTCTTCGACTGTTTGTGGTTCTCCTTAAAATCCAAATGAGACCCTTCCCAAACTACTGCCCTTATAAAATTAAATACCCCGGGTGTCTGAACAAAGCCAAACTCAATGGGACACTTTAAACCAATAACCTTTAGAAACTAACTAAGTCAGCCTTCACAATAATCCCCTTTGGCCACGTAGGACAGCCCAGGGACAGGTGCAGGGCATGCCTTCCTAGAGGCTGTCTGCTCCTCTGTGAATTTGACCTTTTCCAGCTGGTAGCTCTGGCACCTCACAAATCAGTTGTCAGTAGGCTGAATGCCTGCTTTCCCATCTGCACTTTCCAAATGGCTCGTGATGCCAAGGGCTGAGATATGACCTGGCTCTCTCATGAGAACATGCCTCCCAAGTGACATGCCAAGTTTCCCTGGAAGCATTGCTAAATGCACTCTCTGAGCTCCCAGTCCTGGTTCATTCTTCCTTACCTTCCTGCACTTCCTAATGCCACCTCCTCCTCCTGTTCCTCCAACACCGCAGCCCTTCAGTCCTAACTCCTTACGGGTTTTCATCAACCACTGACCCTTGCCCTGCCTCAAACACCAACCTCAAATCCAGAGGGCAAAGTTCCAACATGTTGGAGCTGGTCTGAAGCGATCTTTGGGAGGCCTACCTGCAGGCAGCTCCACTACGACTTCTTCTCTTGCCTTCTCCAGCTTCTCTCTTACCCAGGGAAATTCCTGCAGGGAATCTAGGAATGTGTCAAATGCTTTGGGACCCCTGGAAGGCAGGATATCTAGCAGCAGCATTGTTTTCCGGAGCCCTGTGGCTTGAGCTTTGATTTCTTGAACGTGGTTTTCAGTCAAGATTCCTTCCTGGTAAAGGTACTGAAGAACCAGACCCTCCACCAATACCTCTGCACCCAGCTCCAGGCGAAGTGAGCGAAGCACTTGCTTGTCTCTGGAGTCCATTTCTCCCTGGAAAGAGACACAATCACGGCTCAGATTACAGGAATGCTGAGTGCCCCTAAAGATAGTGTCGCTGCAATGTACCCTCCTTAAGGTCAGGCACATCTTGGAACCTTAGCAGAGTGCCAGGCCACAGTGTTCACAGTGTTCAACATGTGGCCGTCAAGCCAAGTTAATCTCAATGTTTCTGAACATAATGAACACTGAAGATGAATCATCTTTTCTGGTTTTGCTTTTCACACAATGGGGCCCTACATCAATTCCTTGTTCAGTAAAGAGATTTGCGGGGTTAGGGAGGGTGTTGGAGACTCTACTTTAAAATCATGGTTTGGCTCAGCGCCTGTGGCTTGAGTGGCTAAGGCGCCAGTCACCTATACCTAAGGTGGCGGGTTGGAATCCAGCCTGGGCCCGCCAAACAACAATGATGGCTGCAACGAAAAAATAGCCGGGCGTTGTGGCGGGCGCCTGTGGTCCCAGCTACTGGGAGGCTGAGGCAGGAGACTCGCTTGAGCCCAGGAGTTGGAGGTTGCT